TTGATCGAGCTATCTGCACCCTTCACTAGAATAGACAGAATTGAGACGAGTGCATCACCATCCCAAAATTCAACAACTTCGTAATATTCTTTTAGCATCGACTTTAAATTAAACAAGAAAAGAATACAGAATTGAATTTTGTAGCTCTTCCATGAACTACAATATAGACTTTTCTTATATTATTCTTATTTAAAACATCCATATTAATTATGCAAAGAAATATGTTTATATCCAGGCCAAATATGAACAGAAACAAAAAAATTCATATATTAAAGATTTTGATCATCAAGTTCAAACCTATTCATGGGAATTCAATTTATCTTCCATTGCTATGGACTTTTTGCAATGAGCAATTGCAGCTTGAATTGCTGCCTGCAATTCTTCCATGGTGCTGTCACTAGTACTAGTTGGAGTAAGACTGCCAGTAGCCACTAAAAGACCACTATTTGTTGGGGATGTCCTCATTGAAGCCGGTGCTGAAAATTCACCTCTCTTTCCTCTCAATTCTTTCTTGTTTTTAAACATTAAATTTCCCGAAAGCGAATAAGGTTGCCTCTCAAATTCAGTATTTCCTCTTCTGTTTCTGAATAAAAACAATGGCCTAACCATTCTGATGTACCTTTTCACCACATGACGTAGCTCGAACTTCAATTTCGTCGTCTTCTTCTCTTCTTTTTCTCTATTTTCACAACCTTTTCGCCATTTTGGTAGCCCGAATAAAGAGAAAGATTTTGGCTTTTCTCTCCCTTTTGCTTCGAATTCAACGCTTTGATCAAAGTTGTGGTGATCAATACTCTTATCTCCGTTGCTTAGTTCTTTTATAGGTAGCGTAAAACTATCCAAGGAATTGGTGGAAGAGCGAGGCGAGACGGGAAGGTTGGAAAGGAGATGAAGAGGAAGTAAATGGCCATGAAAGAATATATCATCTGCTGGAGATAAATCTAAAGCAACTGAAGGAAGGGTTGATTTATTTTTACCAAGTGGGATTTTCATGGCCGATGGATGTAGAGAAATGGAGAAGGAGAATTCAGGGGACGAAGAAGCTGAAGGTGGTGAGGCTGCTGCTGCACATGGCTCTGGATGCTGCTTCTCTTCATCTTTCTCTCTTATATTCTGATATTGTCTTTCCATGACTCTGTGTCAAATGACTTAACAATATTGGCTGGATATGATGGTTTGTCTGCTTAGAAACGCAACACAAGCAAATGGTTAGCGAGTCGGAGAGTTGTATGCTGCGTTCATGAAGAACGAATAGTTCTCGTGAAAGATAAGGATAATCAAAAGCTGTGGAGTTTGTGTCTTTCTGTTGGGTAGGGAGGGGTGGGAGTAGGGGTCCAGGCTTTAGCATAAACTCATTTTTGAACTGTACACTTTGTATCAGTAAAATTTATGGACTAAAGTGGGCATGGTGTGGCTATGAAATGAAGGGAGGAATAGTGGGGCCTTCTTTTAAGTGTACTGTGATGAGGAAATGACAATACAAAATCAAATTTTTTTAGGTGTAATAGAAAAGTATACATACAAAAATAAATATAAAAAGTGGTGAAGTGTACTAATTTGTCTTTTGTTTTTGTATTTAAAGTGATTCCTTCGTAGGAGGATGTTGAGAAGCCATGGTCGGATATACTATCAACATCGAATTCGAGAAGAACCGTAAATTATTGGATCAACATATTTTCAATATTGATAACAAACTTATGTTCAGTATATTATATATAGTAAAAAAAAAGGTTTTGATTATCCCGTTATTTGTCACAACCCGAGCACTAATCCCGAGGATATATTCCCATCAATTACAAGCTTCCCTCCTCGGGCAATGTACCTCGGGCATGATGGTCCTCGAGTACAAGATATGACACCCCATAATCGTAGACCTCGTCAGGATGTCTCCTCGGGAATTATGTTAGCCCATTAGCTTAAGACATCCTCGAGATCGTGCCTTAGCCTCGCACCTGACAACTCCCGTTTCATTATGGACTCTCCAATTAGATAGAACTTATCCAGTTACAAAGAAGTTGAATCCTACTGTTCCTAGTCCACCCAGGAAGGACTCAATCAGTAGAGTTCTATCATTGTTCAAACACCTTTATGGAGCAACACCGATCAAGTTATGACTTCAAACTGTCTTAGGATTCTGGGGAGTTCGAATAATCTAGTTCTACTAGGAAAGCACTAATTACAGCATATATTACTTTCATAAATTCTCTCTCTGACTTAAGCATCGGAGGGGCGATGAGGACACACCTCGACGCCTTTGTTTCAGGTATTGGAAGACCTCGTTCGTGCTCCTTCTCAGTCGTCAAGCTCGGAAGTCGACAAATACGATTTTTGATAGCATCAGGTTTAAATCAAGTCGTGGATAACAGTAAAAAAAAATACAGTAACGTGTAATATTGTACTCAATACCTCTTTGTGCATGTGACTTGTCTATATATCATTCTCGAAAAGTTTTCATATAGACCTCGCCAAGCCTGACGAGTTTAATCTTAATTATTATGTAATAAATGAGGTTAGCTGTACAATTATATTGTGACAGTACTTGATCATTTTATAGGTGATATACTATTGTTTATTCACCTAAAAAGCACATTTTATGATAATTCAACGACTTTAATGCATACATGTGCATATATTTCAAGGTCGAAACATGTGCACATATTAATCGTCTTTTATTATAGACACAATTGCGCAAATGGTGATTACATGCACACATCACATATTTTACTTTTTGCACCAATTTCTATGACTTTTACCCATCATTTCACTTATATAATTTAGCTCTATTTGTCTACCATTCTTCCAAAAAATTGTTTACTACATTAAGATTCTCCATCACACATTCACTCAATAAAATATTCTATATACAAACCAATACAGTTACTTTAAATTTCAACCACACGTTCTCCAAAAATATATTATTCATTACTCTATTTTTCTCCCAAAATGGAAGACAAACAGACCCTTAACTCTCTTTTATAATGCTCATTGTGCATTTTATTCTTAATGGTTTATGTTCAAATATTCCGTGAGTGTGTTGTGAAACGATGGGAAAGTATTCTATCATACTTTCGTATTTGTTATTTTTATTGCTATAAAAAATTTTAAGGTAAGTCTTTTGATGTCATTCTAACATACTTTTTTGGACGTAACAATCACCTAGAGAAGATGTGAAAATTGATAGAAGGTTAAGGATAATAATGCAAAGAAGAAAAAGTTAGGGATACAAGTCTAACCATGAGCAAAGGTTGGTGAGCTCTAGTGCAATTAAAAAGTGATGAAACAAATAAAAATTATGGTATCAATATAATGACCCATATGAAAAATATACACACACATCCTCTAGTTTCAAAAATTATAAAGACGCACATGCAATTTGTTTTTGACAATAGATTCTTCATTTTAACATTTTCAGGTTTTTCTTAAAGAAAAGAATTGTGAATTGCCTATTTTCTAGAAATAGCTAATTGTACCCATCATGCTTGATGTTCATCAAAATGACAACATGATGACTTCATTCATCACTTGATTTTAGTATCTAGATAGAATTAAAAAAGATAGACATGCGACAAAATTTATCAGTTACTATTTTTAGTACTAATTAATTTAACAAACCAAACATGACCAAAAAGTCTTTTTCTAAACACTAACTAATAGTATAACAAAACATGTTACCGAAGAAATAGGTATAACTTTACCCTTTATTTCGGGAATTGTCTAATTAAATGTACCAAGAATATCAAGAAAGTCGTTTTAGTTTACCAATAGGTTGAAAGTGACTTAAAGAGAAGAATGTGTGTTACTATATGAAGATCCCTTAACCTAAGTCTAGGGTAAGAGTTATCCAGTAGAAATTGCTTGAGAGAGAGAAAGAGAGCAACTAAAACAAGGAACAATAATATTGTGGAAGAAAACATGAAACAAATGACAGTTAGGTGAGATGGTAAGAGCCCACACACGTGTACTATGTGGTCCATTAGTCCAAATTGGCATAGAAAAACATCTTCTTTTTTCCTAAGTGAAGGTCAACATCTCAATCATGGAGGCATTATTTGGGTTTGACAGACTCATCTTCTCTATTTAGCCACCCAAAATTATCTTGTATGCATATATATCTAAAGATAAGAGGTGAGAAAAATGAGAGGTGGGTGGGTAGGTGGGCCAGTAGGGTGAAGATTGTAAAGTTTTTGTCTCATGTCATGTTGCTTGCTGGTTTCTCCTTCTATTATAGAGTCGTGTCTTTGAGAAAGCACAAAATTTTGTGGCCAATGGCAAAAGGCAGAAAGGACAGAGGTTATACCATCATGGATCTTTGCAGGATGACACTGATATCTTTGTTACATACAATGGTTGGTTAGCAAAATGTCTTGTTATGGACGGGAAATGCTCGAGAAAATACAACCATTTGAGATCAATCCACAAAGTATTCCTTGAAGCCTACAATCAATTTATCGTCTATTGAAAAAATAAAATAAAAAGACAAATACATGCATTCCTTCTATAATGATTTAAGCTTTTAAATGAGACGGATGATATGGTACTAAAGCCATGCAAAAGACTTGACATTATCAATTTATGAAATTTGTGCACATAAAGATTAAGTCATTTTGTAGACTGTACAAGGAAGTAAGATGGTCAAGAAATGAAAATTACAAATATGGCTAACAATTATTCTTGTAGAAATTGTCCGTCTAACTAATTCGTCTTCATCTTTTATATAATATATTTTTAGTAGATATCAATGGTCAATCAATTCAAATATGGTTCGAATAAACCTTCATTCGAAGATTGTACAAATTACGAATGATTGGTGAGTATACCTAGTTATCCCGACCAGAATAAATACAAGAGGAAATCATGACAAATTGGAAATAGAATCATGTACGGGATAGTTGCACACTTGCATTCCCCCAGTACCTGAAAAGTGTTGATCGAATCCAAGAGAAAACAAATCATATATCAAATTTGGTTTAACCAACCTCAAGAAATTGAGTTTTTCGACTCTAGAAGACAACAGTGTCTAGCATCGTTCCCAGTGTCTGAATAATGTTGGAAGACATCAAGTTTGAGACGTGCTCCTCGAGGTGCTTCTTGGCGTCTTGCCTTCCCACATTAGCAATAGCTAACTTCTCCGGGGGTAATTCATCCTCCTCCTGAACTGCTTTATTGTATTTGGTAGCTAGATTTAGCATCTCCTGTGCATTTGAAGCCGACTTGAATGAGTACAATATAGTAGAAAAGAAATCATATTAGGACGAGTAGGGTGAAGCTCGCAGTGAGATGTCATCCATAGATAAACAAGTCATATAACCTCAGATTTTACCACAAGTAAAAAGCATTAGTTGCTAGAGAAGTACTAGATGTACATAATTTTTGTACATAGAGTGTACATAATACTCACATGGGGTGGAGCCCACTCATATGGTGGGACACACCCCATGTGAGTGTTATGTAACACTCTATGTACAAAAATTATGTATATCTAGAATTATTCTAGTTGCTATTGCTTGTATATCACACACGCATTTACAGAAACACGCATGAATGTCAATTAAGGACTAACATTTACATGAAATCAACATCTTTATTAGGTCTTTCACAACTATGACCTAAATAAATCCTAAATGCCAATGTTTCATATTATGAGAAAGATATCAAGAAATCCCTCACTGAAATTATACGGTCCATTCACAAAAGACGATCAGGTTAATTTTGTCATTATCTTCTAAATCTTCATTACTCCCAGAAATGTCAGTTTTGGAACTAGGATAACCGCAAATAAGGCATTATAACTCCATCCTTCAACCTATCACAAAATTAGATCGATTCTAAATCACAAACTAGTGAATTAAAACCAATGTGGCACTGTTTCTCGCCCTAGAGAAGTCAGTGCTTGAACTGAAAATTATCAAGTTTGCTGACTGTACCGACAGAAAATCTCCACTTCAGCACTGTTTATCAGACCGAAAAACAAAAGATTTAAGGAATTGTCTTGCATCCTGTACTTGCCAAACGACTTCGAGGTTAAGCTCCAAATGCTAGGTGTTAAAACAAAAGAATGATCAATGCATGTGTTGGTCAGCTAGCCATTTTTTACATGATATTTCCAACCACTTGAATGATCATGTTTCAGTCCAACCAGTTGCCATTCTGCACTGATTGTGTAGCAAAATATAGCTCAATCTCAGCACTTAACACTGTTAATTTGTTTCTGGAGAGAACAGTTGATTCATTACGCATAAAAAATCCAGTTGTTTAAGGAAGCTCACAAAGTTAAGCATAAACAGAGACACAAGCTAATAATAATGTTCCTTGCTTCACAACAACGAAACAGACAAACCCCGTAGCAACCACATAATGTCAGGCAACCCTGAAAAGTACCTGAACTGTGTGCTCATTTGTTTTCGAATGGTCATCAAACCGCTGCAGGGTCAATCCATCTGTCCATTTCTTTTTGTGAAGATTTAGAAGCATCTTCTCTTCAAGCTCATTCTTCCTATAATTTATGGCTATGGAGTAGTAATGCCTATTCAAACCATGAATCAATGCCTGCAAAATAGATAACCTCTTGAAATTAAAATCTAGCGACTAAATAACACTGAAATGAATAGCACCAAGTTGCAACATCACAATTACTTGGATAGACGGCTTATGGAGGTGCCCCAGGTTGGATGTTGTCTGGCGTGGTTCTTGGCCAAGCATCATGGTTTGAGGGTTAATCAAACGGAAGGCATCAATCACCACCTTCCCTTTAACACTCTGAATCGGATCCACCACCACCGCAACTGCTCTTTGATTCAAAGCTTCGAAACTCTGCATAATACAACAGATGATCGTAACTGGAAGCACCAGAAGATGTGCTTTTTTAGATTAAAAGAACAAAAAAAAAAATTGACTCAATGGAACACCACAAATAATACAAAAGCAACTAGCAATCTTCCCATATGCGTTTGTTGTAAAAACAACTCATCCAGAATCAAATAAGAGTGTCAACACCTACTTGTTTAATAGTAAACCCCATAAAATTTACTGGTTATAAGACCAATCCTACATGCAGTAAATCTAAATACAAATGAGGAAAAATCATTGTGAAAGATAGTCATTGGCCTAATGTGACACATACCATAAATACCACGAAGCCTTGAGTTTCAGCATAAATGCTTGTCGATTTTGAGAAGACGTCACCTATTAGATTTATTAAAGGTTTAATGCATTCTACGAAGGCAAATATAACAAAGAACTTGGTTGGAGAATTTCCCTATTTATGGTGCTATGATTCAGTGAAAGAATAGTCCCCCTCATTTTTGCTAATTTCCTCACTGATCCCAATAACACTAAATGATCATATATAAAATTGGTCGATTAGCAGAGCAACCCAGCGTCTTAGATAATCTATAGATGTCAACATATTACTATTGATGACATATGCAGGTACAAATAACAGATATAATATCATATAATGCCAAGAAATAATCAACATGAATAATGACCTGTTGAGTATTGATGTCAACACCAGAAAGCCAACATCCAAAACCAGGATGTGAATGATACCAACCAACAACCATCTCAGGTCTGCAAAATTGAGCAGAAAAACATGCTGATTTTACCCATTAAGAAAGGAGAAAAGATATGATGCAGTGTCAGTCATAACAAAAAGAGAGTAATATGAAAATCCTCAATGAGCACTCCATGAGCATACATTCAGATTCAAATACGAGTTGGATAATATAGCCCTTCCAGGGAACTCAGAGAAAACAAAACGAAAACAATTTCAAAACAAAGTGAAATTCAGGAAAACATAACCAAATCGAAGCAATTAAGATGCAAAATTTCATAGCATAAACGAACAGTCTAAATTAAAGCAAGATGTACAGAAAAAATTCGGGTCACACAACATATGAATTTAACATATGCAGAACAAAATATTGACATTTTAAATATCAAGAAAATTTCTCACTTATCATGATTACGAGGGCAAGTCCCTTTTGAAGATGTATGGTAGTTATTCTTAAGGTATTTCAAAAAATGATTGGATGAAGATAAGAGTCGTGTACTACAATAATCATTGTAGCTTCTCATAAGAGCTAGAAAGAAGTACCATGCAAAAGATAGAAAGAAGTAATTCATATTAAAAAAATATGTTACCAATGTTTGATAAAATGAAATTAGAGAGTCAAATGGTTCCACAAAATGGATTGGAAAAACACAGTATTTGATTAAACTGAACAAAGACCTTTTTCACGATAACATTACCAAATTGGGCTGAAAGATTGGACATAACAATATAGCATCCATAAGTGCTTTTAATTTACTTTACATGATTATGTCTCTATAAAACTTGATCTTTACGTGGATGTTTGATTGGGGGAAAAAGAGCACTAGGATCGGAATAGAAAGGGCCGGTGGCTATTCCTAGTGTTTCTTTGAGGCCACAGTTGAAATCAACAATTTCGTGCCTCCCTGAACTTAACCATATCTTTTGCATTACCACAATGGAAACTAGCCTCACAACCATTCTACCTCTCTTCCACCACATAGCCTCAAGAATAAAGCAACTCGCATACCTCAATACAAAGCAACTCATATACTACGATGTAGTAAACAGCCTCATTCTCCCTTTCCCATAGAAAGGGTTACACACATACATCAAATTCAACATCTAGTTTAGCAATGAACTAGACCCAGATGCCTAAATTCTGATAGACACAGATGCCTAACTTCTGATAGACAAAACTATAATACAAAACCTTTCTAGAAGGAATGAAACAACTTCTTTCAACATCTGAAGCTCATCTAGACTTTCATTAGACATCTGTACCTTGTTTAAACAACTCAACCCTACACAAATAAGTCTCAACTAACTAGGTTCAAGTTGGATTGAAGAATTAATTCGCCATTGGCAGGAAACTGAGCTCAAAACGAGTTTTTTGGTAGAAATTTCATCTTGAACACATCAAACCGGTTGAGCTTAATAAATTTTGAGTCTTAACCCCCTCTTTGTTCAACACAACCTTATCACACAGCTCTAACAGTGGTTGAGGTCCGCAAATTTCAAACATCTGAAATCTTTATTTTTTATCATTTTAATCCCTTTTCCATATTTGTTTTATATATATTAGGTTTTTCAAAATTATGTATCTACTAAAAATATTCCTTGAACTTGCTCATACAAACTTCCTTGAACTTGCTCGTACAAAAAATTCAAGAAAATATAATATGAAAGGGGTACAAGTTAGTCAGTTGAAGTAAAGAACAGCATTTCCTGTTGAAGAGAGATTCACCAATTACTGTTCAAGGTTCTTTCTTGTTTTTCTTTCAGAGGGCACTGGACAGGGGATCAACTTCAGGATTTGATAAAATAGAGTTCAGAAAGAAATCTAAATTTGATGGTTCGGCCATAAATTATATGCATTTTTCTTCTTTGGAAAGAAGCAATCAACACAGAACACGTGAGCAAAAATTTATTCTGAGACCACAGCTAGTTTTGTTTCCTCCACCTTCGCAAATTATACAATTCTTCACATTATTCTGATCGACTTCCCCAAAACAATCCCAAAGAATAATGCTATTTATCATCGCGATGTGGCAATCTAGGTAAAATAAATTTTTTTTTTTTTTTGATAACCGTGGGTGTGTAGGCCAGTTTGCGCACACCTCGACTAATCCCACAGGGCTATGAGGTTTACGACCAGGTACTCACCTCAGTGGCCTGAGGGACTGTGACTATTCGGGAGCAAACCTAAGACCTAACCAATTGTGCAACACCAAGGTTGACCTAGGTAAAATAATAAGACATTATAAATCTTATTATTCCACCTAAATTGCCGCATCATTGATAATCCATCGTTATAACGATAAATAACATTACTCGTTTCCAAAATACCTACACAGCAATTATAAAACCTAAAAATTCACAAAAAAAAAAAAAAAGGAAGAAGAAGAAGAAGAGAATGTATCTTCATTCTTCTCCTTACCTGCCAGTTTGCTTGAGCATGTCAAGCATATTGGTCTGGAAAACATGATCCACGGCCTCCACACTAACCCCTGTGCCACTTTGCGGCATCGCAAAAACGTCCACCACGCGCACCGTGTACTCATCTACAAATTCCCCCAGCATCAGCCCCATCACTTCCATCGGCACTCCCGCTCTCCCTATAACATCATAGTCACCACAAAAACCATAATTCCATTAAAACGCTAGAAAACCTACACTAAACATCCAAAATCAAGGAAAGTTTCATGTAAAATCAAACTATATATGAATCCCTAGATTTACCGTGTTTGAGCATTTTGAGTAGAGCGAGAGACGAGATGTAGACTTGTTCGGAGGTATCAAGGGTCGGAGAATCAGGCGGCGGGTGTCCAAGAGCGCCACCGGCGCCGGCAAACATTCTTTGTAGTCTTTCCATCCCGGACATCTAAAATCTTTCTCTGCGTATTTGGGTATTTCTGATATTTTCCTGGGCAGATGGTAGAATTTTATAGGGTGGGATTTCTTCGGAAACAAGAAGACTATAGTAGTATTAAATGATTTGCATTATGCCCTTACACTTTCAAAATGTGTCACTTTAGCAATCAAACTTTAATTTTAGCATATATAATCACTGAACTTACAAAGTTATTTCAATTAATTACATATTCATTGCTCAATTTAACAAAGTGATATTTCGAATGGGGGAGACTTGATGTGCAACGACCCAAGCCTATATTTAAATTGTTAAATCATACGCATTATCCGCTTTCAAAGAGTCTATAATTCTCTTACCCATCATGAATTTCTATTACGTTCTCCAAAATTCGAATCGATTATCTTTAAATTTAACATTCGTGAATATGATAATGTGATATATTTACCTAAATTACGTAATGTGTCATATTGCTATCAATTTGCAATGTTCGCATAGAATTGTAACGTTAAATTTAGTAATATGGGCTAACAAGGTGCCTAGCAATTACAGTTGAGAAAATGAAATTTCAGTGAGAATAGATTTAACTGAAATTTCAGTGAGAAAATGAAACTACCCCGATGAAAGTAACACACCTGTTGATTACCCACACAGACACTATAAGTATTGGAAAAAACAATCGAAGAACTCTCGAGCAAAATCAGGAAAGACAAATTAACTTGCAGATGTAATCCTGTATGCATACAGTCATGACAATAATTACTAGTTTCTGTAAATGTAATTACCAAAGTTGATATTTACCAGGACAGTGCATATAGCTAAACGAATAAATCATAAAAGCCAATTCAAGTACGAAATAAAGCACATCCTCGACCACACACAATTCATAAGTTTTACACAATCAAACGTAGCATGATTTGATATAACATTCAGAAACCATCTTCACGACTAGTGATGAGCCTCCAATGCACCTTGTATATTTTTCACTGCACTGTCATAGTTGAGGAATCCCATGAACCAGAACTCATGATTGTCAACAGAAATAATCTGGATGTATTTTTCAGCTGGATTGAGTTTGCTCTTTGAAGGATTAACTGCTTTTAGCTGATGCAGCGGAATAAGCACCTACACAAATAAAAAGAAATACAGAACTTGTATTTAATGGATTTGGGACTGATACGCTTGAACAAATTTCCATGTGTCAGAAACTAAAGGATGGTCCATCTTGGGTCAGCAAAAGATGTCTAAAGATAATAATCACATTACAAAATTGCGGTGTTATGAACTTGTGAAGTAGGTTCAAATATAACGATTAGGTGAGGCCATAATTGAATTTTATAGTAGTAAATACAACTCAACTGAAGTGACAAGAAAACGGGAGTTCATACTCTTGTTTAACAGATCCAAGAGTGCAAAGTATAAAAAAGATCGTTCCTTTCAATAACATCAAAACAATGGATGGAAATCCAAATGTGCATATCTGCACTAGATGTCATGTCACAAATGCAGATAATTATTCATTTGCATAAAGAAAATGAGACAAACTTATATTGCATACAACTCTGTACATACCAAAAAATTCATCGCATTATTGTATATATGCGTTACCTTGGACAGAGGCAGGCAAAACCCTTCATTCTTTTAGTTAAGTAAATCCAATCTTTAAGAAATATGTTAAAAGAGGAAAGAAATCACATCCACACTCCACTTGTTAGGCCTCTGCCTCGCGTGACCTGCCAGCTAAGCACAATTCCACTAAAGCACTATCTTTCAGAGGCTATTGAATTGGAGCATGTCACCTCCACAATCTGTACTGCGAAGGGATGAGGTAATGTTTCATCGCCTCGTCAACCAACACTTTTTGAGGCATTGAGATCATAGCCCAACACCATCTCCGGGGCGACATAATTCACTGCAAACACGTCATCTTTGGGCCCCAAGGCGATGAGAAGAGCTTCGACCCCTAGCAGCATCAGATGGGCATCTCGTATCCAACGCAGTTGTGGTCAAGTTCCAAAGGAGCCTCATGCAAGTTGCACTCTGACAACATGGAGCCAAGTGAGAAGTGATTGATGTTATGTCTTCTGCAATGGCAGTAGGGAGTCAAATTCCCTCTTTCTTGCCTAGGACAACGTGTGGGAATCGCAGACCTATAATACATAGGAGGCGACATTCAGACATCATTGAGTTAGACTAGTAAGCTATTGGGAAAAGGCCACATGTCAAATACCTGGATACCCTCAGTTCAAATTCTTTGCCTATAAATACTCACACGCAGCAACATTGTAAATGTAATTCCAACTTGGTAATTCGCAAATGTAAACCCAACTCCCGATTTTCTTCTTCGTTCCCCCGCTAATGCTCGGACTCTTTGAAATAGTCGGAGTACCCGTACCGGATACGACACGACACCGGCATGGGTATGAGATATGTGTCAGATCCTCCAAATTTCAACATGACACTCCGTTGTTTTTACTTTCTTTCTTTTTTTTTTTATCTTTTCCTTTTCTTCTTTCCCCTTTTTGCTCTCTATAAACTTGGTGTCTCAATCGAGAGGGTGGAGAAAGGTGACAGCTCTAGGTTTTCCCTTCTTCTTTGTTTTTTCTTCTCTTTTTTTTCCCTTCTTTTTCTCTTTGTATCGGTGATTTAAGATTTTATTTGTATAAAATGAAATGGGTTCCATATAGTGCTACTTAGTGCTCCATTAAATCCAAATTACAATCAAATCCTTCATTTTCTATTTTATATAATATTTAGTACTTCCCATAATTGAAAATTAAACCCTAAAATTCTATTTTATTCGTCTTAACCCTTTATTCAATACCTATTTCCTTATTTGTGAATAATTGATTTTGGTTTATACAAAATGATATCTTGGATTAGTAAAAAAATTGAAGTTTGAAAGATGTACCCACGTACCCGTGTCTGAAATTTAGGGCTCCAATATTGAGGCTCTAGCATGTATCTCCAAGTGTGCGGATAGCATACACGTAGAGAAGAGAGGAGGCGGTTGAAAATTGAACCCTAAAATTCTATTTTATTCGTCTTAATCATTTATTCAATACATATTTCCTTATTTGTGAATAATTGATTTTGGTTTATACAAAATAACATCTTGGATTAGTAAAAAAATTGAAGTTTGAAAGATGTACCCATGTACCCGTGTCTAAAATTTAGGGCTCCAGTATTGAGGCTCTAGCGTGTATCTCCAAGTGTGCGGATAGCATACACGTAGAGAAGAGAGGAGGTGCGATTTATTAACGCTCTGGGTCCCAAGCAGATTTAGAGGTCAACACCATTGATTGAGAAACAAAGACTATATATACATAAACCATGCTTAAGAGGCTACAAATGATATAGATCTCAAAAAAAAGTCAAGATTGATGGAACCTCTGACCATGTTTAAATACCTTGCTCTACAACTTCCTTGTCTTATTGGAAGACGGTATAAATCAAACTCTAATTTCACTTTCCAAATCCCGAGTCAAACCCATATTTACTCGTAACTTTCCACAAATTTTTAGGTGTAAATAGAAATATGTACACTTTTTAATCATCCTCCATTTTACCTGAGCTCATGCAACCAAAGTTACGCTTGACCATGCTATTTCACAAATATCCAATAGGTCCATCCTGCTATATCTTCGATCTTCAAATATCTAGAGTGAAAATAAGGCACCCCACGCCGTGTGACCTATTCCACAACGTTTTCATTATGCTTCCCTACGTCCATTGCAATGCTAAGTCTCTCTTGGGCAATTAATGCTAGCTTTCAAGTGTGAACCAATTTCCGCCTATTAACAAAATTGGGCAAGGTTGTAATTTTCATTATGCTACAGATCCAATGGTGAGGAAGTTCATGAAAAGGCATTTCACATTGGATCAAATTGAACAAGTCCAAGTAGTCAAGAACACAACAAAATATAGTGGGGACTGTAAACACTACATTGTTCGAATAGTGGGGACTGCTTAAGACACGCTGACAATCTCATATCACATGGTACCAAAAAAATATGTAAATGAAACTCCATGACTATCACGCTATGATTTCATTAAATCAAGGGAAACAATATAAAGGGAATGACAATGTGAACAACAGGATGGAGGTATAATGTAGACTTAAGAGCAAATAAGGACATAGAAGTTTAGGATAAAAACAGATGCGTACAAAAACCATGGAAATTAAATGAAAGCAACACAATCCGTGATACGCGTCCTACCTTGTAATAGCTCCACCGTGTCTCCTCATCCACTGTATATGAAAGAGGATTATCACTACAAAATGCTAGTTTCACAGTTGAGTAATACAGGACTCCCATGACAGGTCCAGCAGAAGTAGATAAGTAGCAGGCATAGTACTTTAGAAGTTTCTCATCAGGGATGGTCTCAAATGATTGACGGAAGACCTTTTCATATCCACCTTCTGTCAATACCTTGGTGCTCTGTGCTATTCTTCCAACAGCAGCATCTGCCAAGCTAGGGCCAGTTTTTACTGATAAAGCAGAAGTTAGTATATGTACAACATTATCAGAAATAACCACCATCTAACAAAAATTTGTACAAAGATCTATGAATTTATATAGTTTCCAAATAATACAAACTTCTTCAATCATAGCATTATATGCTTTTACTATTTCTTGGGTCATTTCCAAAATATAGCATATTTGATGAGACATCAATTCAAGAAAGTCATATTGTACGAGGGTGTAATTGAACATCTAATTTGCTAACTCGTCATCATGTAGTTAGAATAGGGTAGCAATGGTAAGTTCATAATTCTGGACTTAAAGTAGCTGATCACAGACTATACAAAGCTAGTTTTTCAACTGATCTACTCAAAGAAATAACAAATATTAGCCAAAAGGAGTCAAATTTAGAGGGGAAACAAAAGAAGACATTTAAATTGGTTTACTGGAGAGTTGGTGTAAGAACTCAAGATATAAACAACCAAATATAATCCCCACTAACAGTGCGAAACACTGCAACATACTCACCACTATAAAAGACAATTATCCTAAGATGCATGGGCTCAGACAAGAGACATGGGTGAAACTTTACATTTTTCAACCGGGTAGTATATGAGAAGTTGAGGACATGTGGCATGTGCGCACAAGTGTGATTGTAGAATTCTAACTATGATAATCGAACATTTTGCAACAGTAATGGATATGTATGAACTCTATAAAATGAGAAAGCATGATCTTTACACTTATGCTCTCAAATAATTACAGGACCATATTAAGCTCCTATTTGGGCTCCATTATTTCCAAAATTTTTCCAAAACTCATTTTCAACCACATGTTCTTCCATAAAATAATATTACACGTGAACCCAAAATTTTTTCTTATCTTTCCATCACACATTCCATAAAATAGCTATTCCAAAATACATTTTCTCCCAAAATCCCATTAAAATGGAGCCCAAACAGGGTTTAAACAAACTACAGCCCGTATTTTCCTCAAGAGCATAGTTCCAAGAACACTACGCATAAAGATGTACCACAAGTCCATAACTAAGAAAAGCCATAACCAAACATGAAAATAATTATGCCCCACAAGTCCATAACTAAGTAAAGCCATAACCAAACATGAACATATAACATAAAAGAAGAAAAAGTACAAAGATTAATACACTCACAGTGTTGCCACATGTTTCCGGCCAAGTCCTCTGCCTTCTTTGTAGCCTCTGCAGCCTTCTTTCCCCATTGACCCAAAACTTCCTTTACTGGAATCCATTTCATCCAACATCCACAACCAAATGATAAATTAAAATTAAATTAAACCTAAATCAGTAGCCAATTCAAAAAATCAGATTCAAATTAATTATTGATAAAAAAAAGAAAAAGATGCAAATATACTCTTCGAAGTAGATGATCCTGGGACGGGAGCGGAGGAGACGTAGGGATTGGACTCGGCCGGCATGGAGGCAGCGCCACCACCGTAAATCGGAGCTGGGCCTTCCGCAGCCGACGGATACCTGGGTGAATTATTATTACCCGACCCGTGAGACTCCGATCCGACAGGGGAAGAGCTCCACGTGTCAGTGACAGGAGTGACGTCTTTCGGGTCAAGTTTCGGATACGGAGCGTAATCGGCAGAGGGTTGAGGAGCTTCTTCTGGTTTGGTTTGGGATTGAGTCTGAGAGGCCGGATTTTTGTTCGGGTCCGGATTCATCGTGCTTTTCATTGACGAAAAATAAAAGAGAAAATGGACAAATTCTTAAGCAATCATAATTCATATGGTGGTCGGTTCGGTTTCGTCCTCCGTTTAGCATAAGTTCAACCCGTTTCTCACAACCATTATTTAAAAATATATTTTTTTTTATATTCATTTTCAATCACATATTCATAAAATGAAATATTCTGTATGTAAATTAAAAAACAATCAACTTTTTAATCACGTATCCTCGTAAAAATCACTTCAACTCATTGCTTTTTAAATAATAATTGTCAAACCGAGGCTCTGTTATAACAAGTAAGAGTTCCAATTGATTGAACCATATTCTCTCTTTTAATAGTCGGGTCTTTCGACCGAATGGGACAAGCCTTTGGGCTCTTTAATTTTTTATTTTTTTTTTAAGTATTAAACATGAAGTATTATAATGCATCTAAAGTAATGAAGCGTGGACACGATAATGGCTTCATCACTAGAAATCAATGGACATATAATTCCCAAGAACTCGCAAATATTTGTTATATACGAACAACTGGAAGAGATTCAAGCATTTGGTCTAATGATACCAATTTTGGTAGAGCTTTCCCGAGCACTCAACCCGAGGAGTTTAGGGCCCATCCAAGCACGATCCCTATGGTCTCCTCAGGCTCAGGCACCAACACTCCAACAACTCTTCCTCGAGTTTATAACCAGAGCTTCAAATCATGCAATCCCTGATTTATTAGAAATCTACTTCATGTCAAGACTTATGCCCTAGGAAGCAAGGTCCTGCTGATAATATGTCACCTCATTCTGAGAGGGTTCTAACACTAGAATCTCGTATCTATCCAAACACTTGGGTAATACAAAGTCAATTGAGTTGCAACTTCCAATCATGTTAGGACTGCTAGGGATTTCAACATTGTAATTTTATTAGAAATGCACTATCTACATCTATAAATACATCATTCCAATTCATTATCAAGGTACTTTTTCATATATGATTTCAACACTAAAATTTTTTCATATTCTCTCTCTGACTTAAGCATCGAAGGGGCGACGAGAACACACTTCGATGCCTTTGTTTTAGGTATCAGAAGACCACGTTCGTACTCATTCTCACTTGTCAAGCTCGAAATCCGTCATGTACGATTTTTGGTAGCATTATTGGCGCCGTTTGTGGGAAGCACTATCAAAAGCTAAGGTCAACACACGTTCAGGTCTTCCTCTAACGAGCTCATTTGCACCAAACCCACCACCTATTACGGAGCCCCAGCTCATCAAGAAGAATCATCTGCAGTACCAGCTGCCCAACCACAGGTGGTTGATGCGGGTACCTTCGAAGAATTTTGTCAACAAGGTGCAACGCTAACTCAATTACTAAGCCAAATGAATGTTCATCCGGTGCCGGAACAACCGTCACCACCGATAGTAGGACAACTAGAAGGGTTCATGACCGTTGCTCGAGCTCGGGATACTCGCAAAGTTCATGATAATGGTGGATCCGGGTCCTCAGGTGTATCCCAAGTGGCCTTGGCCTCGAGGTTGGTCACCATGGACTCGAGCGAACTAACCAAGATCATACAGGATGAAATCACTGCTGGACTGCAAAAAAACACCCAAGGTATGACAAGGTTTACCCCTAACACTCATTTCACACCAGAAGTGCTCTCTTATCCGCTCTCAGACAAGGTTAAACTCCCCCGTATGAAAGAGTATGATGGAACAACTGACCCTATGAACCATCTCAATGTGTATATGGACGTCATGAATCTATAGGTGGCACCAGATCCCGTGATGTGTAAAGCTTTTCCACAAACACTGACGAACGCTGCTAGGGATTGGTTTTCCACCCTAGAGCCCAATTCCATTGCCTCATTCTCCGAATTGGCCAACAAGTTTTTCGTTTTCTTTGCTAGTAGTAAGCGCATCAAGAAGACAGTCGTGTCCCTTATGCAGCTCAAGCAAGGACCGAATGAATCCCTACATAATTTCATGACTAGGTTCAATAAGGAAGGACTCCAGATACCCGACCTTCACATAACAGCAGCCATCTCCGCCCTCACGTATGTCATAAGATGCGAGGCCTTTAAGATATCTCTCTAAAAAAATCCGCCAAAGTCCATGACTGAGCTACTTACCTGAGCAACAAAATACATTAATATAGAATGAACATTGAACCTGATGAGGAACCCTCACCCAACCTCGGAGAAACTCGAGCACAACGGCAACATAATTTTATGCGTGTTATAAATTAAAGAAATTATAAAAGTTAAAAACCCTCCTCATTTATTCGGGTTTGGGACCGACTACAATTATCGTATGCAGAGTTAAAATTGTACATGAATAAAATATTTCGTGTACAATTTTTCTTGAAACAAAAAAATTAAAAATTACGTATTTTAAATTAAACAATTTAAAAACTTACAATATCTTATACTTTAATCTGCTGTAACTCATCGGCCATCATACTATCAACTTGTTCTTGAAGACGTAATTCCGCACATTTTCAATCCTTCAAA